GTCCTGCCAGTGACAATTCCGTGGTTAACATTAGCCGTCGGCAAAACTACTGCTGGTAAAACAAACCTCCTAAGACTAGGTAAACCGTTTAGCATATGTTAACACAAGAATCCTTTATCCTCATTTAAACCTCTGGTGATAGACTGGGAACTTCCGAATGATTCAGCAATCTCCAGCTCTCATCTCCTGTTGCTTTCTCAGCCCCACAGTGGCATCTTTGAAGGCCACTGACAGTGTCCTGGGGAGTTTGCCATATTTCCCCACTGTTTTGTTGTTGCAATTTCTGATCTCAGTTTGGGGTCTGTTTATTGTTTTGCACTAAGATTGGCCTATCGGCCAGATGCAGAGTGCAAACACACCTCTGACTCGCTCTCCTGTGCAAAGAAGGGGGAGGCAGGGCAGACAATAGCAGGTCCTCTCGCTTTCCTCTTCAGGCCCCCAAGTCTACTTGCTCTTCACACACAGGGGCATGGTGACATCCTGGTATGCATCAGAGGCCAAGGTCAGCACGGAAGTACTTGAACAGTAAGCACCCTCTTCCAGCCACCTAACGCTGCCCTTGACCCTGAACTGAAACCTGCATTTTCAAAAATTTCTAAATTATGCAAGGTCCCCATTTTAATATCTGTCACCATCAGATTATCCTTCAGCTTGCATTTAAAAAAAAGTGAAACTCAGACACTGAAGCAAACCAAATCCAGTTAGGAGCCATTTCAACCCTATACACCCATTAATGTTGGTGGAACTTACTTCTGAAGAAACATGTATAGGATTAAATAGTCTGTGTCCAAAAGCAAACCATCTATTGACAAATGTTACCCAGTTATACCCACAAACTACAGATACCTGCAATCTATTGTTGTTTCTCTGCACGCATCTTCCAGTTGTCCCTTTTACCATGGTTTGTTGGACTAGAAGTCTCACAGTCTCCATTTTTCAGGTTATTTTCTGCCCCTCATTTAACAGACTTTACTCATCTCCATCCAAGCTATGTTTATCTTCATCTACCACAGATACCTTCTAATTTCGTTCTAAATTTTGTTTCACCGTGCCAGAACATGACCATTTTGTAAACCCTACATATGCATCAACATTTTGCAGGTGAAAATGGAGCTGGCCTTGGCTCCTTCTGCCATCACTATTATTACACCAAAATGTTGCTTAAACACTTGGGTAAACACACACATGCACATAAACAATTCACAGGAGAGACAGTGTGGTACATGGAATAAAGCAGTGGATTGAGATTTAAAAGATCCAAGTTCACATCCCCACAGAGTTATAAAAGGCATTGGGTGACCTTGAGTTAGTTACGACTGGCGAAACGTCAGGAAGAACAACCTTCAGGACACGGCCAAAGAGCCCGAAAAACCCAGAACAACCATTGATGGAACTTACTTCTAAAGAACCATGTACAGTATAGGATTACATACAGTAGTCTGTGTCCAAAAGCAAACCCTCCATCTATTGACGCATGTTACCCAGTTATACCCACGAACTACAGATACCTTGCCAAATTCTCCTCCAGAAATTAGGCACACTTGCATAAAGAAAAGCTGCAAGCAGATGTTGCGTGAATACAGCGTGGCAGGTTTCACTAGGATATGTGCTGGCGTAATATTCACTGAGTCCTGCAATCTATTGTTGTTTCTCTGCACGCATCTTCCAGTTGTCCCTTTTACCATGGTTTGTTGGACTAGAAGTCTCACAGTCTCCATTTTTCAGGTTATTTTCTGCCCCTCATTTAACAGACTTTACTCATCTCCATCCAAGCTATGTTTATCTTCATCTACCACAGATACCTTCTAATTTCGTTCTAAATTTTGTTTCACCGTGCCAGAACATGACCATTTTGTAAACCCTACATATGCATCAACATTTTGCAGGTGAAAATGGAGCTGGCCTTGGCTCCTTCTGCCATCACTATTATTACACCAAAATGTTGCTTAAACACTTGGGTAAACACACACATGCACATAAACAATTCACAGGAGAGACAGTGTGGTACATGGAATAAAGCAGTGGATTGAGATTTAAAAGATCCAAGTTCACATCCCCACAGAGTTATAAAAGGCATTGGGTGACCTTGAGTTAGTTACCCTCACAAAGTGACCTTCCTGTCAGGACTGTTGCGATTATAATGTGGGGTAGAGAACAGCCAGGGAGGCCACATGGAGCTCATTGGAAGAAAGGAAGGATACAATTTAACGAATGTGCAATCATGCCCTAAAGCTGGAAGCTCTCTATACAGAATTTGTTCTGTACTGTGCTTCCCTGGTTTCTGAAACCAGGATGTGAATCACCAAATCTGAGGGGATTGTGTTCCACAGCCTTGAAAGCATGGAGGAGAAGACCCTCTCTCACATGTTTGTCAAGTGGATGTGACTGGGTTCTGGTTCTAACGTAAACAATTCCTCCTCTTTAACACAATTAATCACAGGAGATGGAGTATCTTTAACAGAACATTTCTAACTTCAGGAGGGGAGGGGTGCACAACAACTTCTGTTGGTCCAGTGGGACCATTAGCTACAGTAACTGTGAATCAGTCCAGGTTGTAGGCGCTATCCCAACGAGGCGCTATCCCAAATCTCACACGGTCGTTCAGTCTCTGTCATGGGTTGCTCCTCATGGTGCAAACTGTCCCACAGCAGGGGTGACTAAGCAGTGGATTGAGATTTAAAAGATCCAAGTTCACATCCCCACAGAGTTATAAAAGGCATTGGGTGACCTTGAGTTAGTTACCCTCACAAAGTGACCTTCCTGTCAGGACTGTTGCGATTATAATGTGGGGTAGAGAACAGCCAGGGAGGCCACATGGAGCTCATTGGAAGAAAGGAAGGATACAATTTAACGAATGTGCAATCATGCCCTAAAGCTGGAAGCTCTCTATACAGAATTTGTTCTGTACTGTGCTTCCCTGGTTTCTGAAACCAGGATGTGAATCACACTGATTGTATCAGTTTCTAGTTTAAAATCTTTTTTTTTTTTAAGTGCAGTACAATATGTTTAATATCACAGTGGACCAACGTCAATATTTTTGCAACATTTACTATTTCCACAGGCAGTTAGTGGTGGGAGTGAGCTGAAGGGAGACTGTTGTGCACTTCTACACAAATATGTACACCGTGCTTATCTCAAAAGTTTCTCCAGAAGGTCAAATGGGGACACACTAAGAACAGGGATTTTCTAGGGACAAGGGACCATAAAGGGGCTGTTCCTACTATACAGTTAGAATAAATATATATGCAAATAAGGGGTAGGTGTACATTCCTGAGTGGATCCCTAGGATGGAGCAAAGATTCTTGAGGCTTTAAGAGAGCAGAGCAGCACTCGCATGCATCCTGTCTGTCAATCTGGCATGCCTGTGCCATGATTAGAAATGGGGAAAGAGAAAGGAAAAAGAATGAAGGCAGCATTGGATTAGTGGCAAAGGAGAAGGACAATGTGCTCTTTATCTTTGAAATGAAGCTTTCCTTTCCTGTTGCAATCTTTTATTAAATCATCAAAGTCTATAGTGTGACCAGACAAAAGCAAGGAGTGGGGGGGAGAAAGGACACTGTAAGTAAGTGTAAAAAGGTGCTGCCTCACTGCATTTTAAGCAGGATTCAAAGAGGACTGTGCCTGTCACACCTTTGAAGTCCCCTCACCCCACTTTCCCTCTCTTCCTGGTGGCTACTGGAGGAAACTGACGAGTACTTTTTCCTGGCTGCTGGAAAGCAAGGGGAAAATTAAAATGAAACAAAGCACCCATCTCTGTAAATACATAAATGTTGACATGGATCTGGACAGGGAAAGAGTCAGTATGTTTCAGAAAGCATGCAAGGCAAGTTGAGTACCAAATCGTGCCTCCTTATTTGAACTAAAAAATGGACCAAGGAACTAGCACCAATGCCCACTTGGAACAACGGGCCTGCCTCAACTGGCACTTTTCACCCTTTGTTTGTTTTCTTCCAGTTTAAACCTGTGTAGAATCTATGCATGCAGGAGATCGTGCTTTAACTTTCCTAGCTCCATAAAGCAAAATGAGGTGCAAATAAGAGAATGCTATGGGAACATTTGCTTTTGCTTGCATTTGGATGACTTAAATCTCGAATGTTCTTTGCATCCTAAATGCAAAGGCATATGTTAATTTTGGCAAATTCTTGAAAATGTAGCCATATTTGTACTAGCCAGTTTTAATAAATAAAGTTATTTCTATCATGGAGAGGATTGTGCTGGACCTGCCTACTATATACTGTAGTTGTTTAAAATGAGGAACCTGTTTTAAAAGGTAGCCACCTAAATTAAGCAATGATATAAGTTAAAACACAAGGATTCAAATCTAAGCTTTTAAAGAGTTAAATATTCAAAGCCCTGGGCCTCAACAAACTCAACGCTCTGAATTCTTCGGTTTCAGATTCTTCTAGTTTTAAGACATCTTCAATTTTCTCTAACCCAAAATGGAAATTCCACCCATCCCTTGTAAGAGGGACCAAACTTAATTTTGTAGGAATATAAATGAAAGAGGGAGCTATCAGAGCCCAAGTCCACAAGCCAATTATATAACAGTTTGCTGGGCAAATGGGCTTCCAACCAAACTACCTATTCAATCCACAAACTATGGATGAACAATGCTATCAACTGTGACAGCGCCAATCACTTGTTGGACATGATTTACTTATTTATTTTTTATTTCCGCTTGTATACTGACCCATAGTGCACACACTCTCTGGGAAGTTCAAAACACAATGATAAGGCAAAATTAAGGTAGAAGAGACCCGACCCTGACCCTCAAAGTAACTGGTGCCATCAAAGCTAGCTGGGCATCATCCCTAATAGATGGTTATCAAACAACTGTAGCAAGAAAACATGCAACAACCAGAACCCCAGATATGGAGTGTACACCCCTGCCATCTGCCCAGCAACTGTTTGTATTTAGGAAACACATCCAGTAAGGCAACATGCATGGAAGAGCCCAATTACTGTGCAGATATTACATTGTTGTTTCAGACCACACATACCTGTTTCTTAAGAGACTCCTTAAAGGCTGCAGTCCTCTTCACAGTTTCTTCAAAAGAAAAGTAAGCGGAGATTTCACCTAGACCTCAAATTTACTTCCAAGTAAACATGCATCAAAGCAGACATGTTTTATAAAAACATTAATAATACCAACAACTGTGGGAACTCTTGTCATACAGCGGAACCAAATAAATCAAGGGTTTGCATATACAAGAGAAAGCTCCATGTTTCATCTGAAAAACAGGGCACACCTGCAATAATTAGTCCAAAAATAGTTTTCGGAAGCAAAACTGAATTTCCTTCAAGTTAGCATCCCCTGATGTCCTTTAACGAGGTCTTCTTTCTAACATCAGGTGTTCCAACCAGAACCCTGTTTCAGCCATGACTTGAACTATGGCCTTAAGCTTTGCAGAATTAGGGCCTCAGCTGTTCCTATTTCTTCCCACCACCTCCCTCAAGGAGACAGGAAGTGGCTGTTTATTATAGAATAAATCTCTGGCAAACAGCTGGCAGCAGCTTTAATGAAGCAACTGATAATAAAATGAAAGTCGGTCATATTCTGTGTTTTCCAGGAAGATTATAAATGATATTTTCCAAGGCTGCCTGATTATCTGTTTCAGCTTCAACTGATTGAAAATAGTAACAGAAATAGCAGCATGTATAACTGCATAAACAAATCTTCTTCCAGGTTCTCTTTTCCATCAGTAATCTTGCATTGCCTCCAATATAAGAGAGAAGCTTTAATTTAATTGACCCACAAGAGGATTAACTCTGATACTGGGAAGAATCAGAGCAAAATATTATTTTAAATTTTATTTAAAATATTTTTACCTCACCTTTCTCCTTAAAAAGGACCCAAGGTGGCTTAATCATCATTAAAAGACAATGTTTAAAAACTAAAAACAGCTAGTATACAAATATTTAAAAAGAATCAGACCAATACCATACTAAAAATGGTAAATAAAACCAATAGCAAAAACACATTCAAAGCAACGAGAAGCAACAATCCAATCAAAAACCCTTCTCAGACAGCCAATCACTAAGGGAAAGCATGCCTAAAAAGAAAGGTCTTTGTTTGCTTGCAGAAGGACTTCTTCACATCTTTTTTTAAAACAGCCAGAGTGGGAGCTAACTGCAAATCTGAGGGGATTGTGTTCCACAGCCTTGAAAGCATGGAGGAGAAGACCCTCTCTCACATGTTTGTCAAGTGGATGTGACTGGGTTCTGGTTCTAACGTAAACAATTCCTCCTCTTTAACACAATTAATCACAGGAGATGGAGTATCTTTAACAGAATGTTTACTAATTTCAGGAGGGGAGGGGTGCACAACAACTTCTGTTGGTCCAGTGGGACCATTAGCTACAGTAACTGTGAATCAGTCCAGGTTGTAGGCGCTATCCCAACGAGGCGCTATCCCAAATCTCACACGGTCGTTCAGTCTCTGTCATGGGTTGCTCCTCATGGTGCAAACTGTCCCACAGCAGGGGTGACTAGCCCAATCCCCTTCGTGATATGTCTCCCCAGTAGGGATAGGGTCTGGGTGCACCAGCTTTCTCCAAGGACCCTTCCTTCCTGGATGGACATACTCTGTCCATTCTAAAAGGTCCAATTCACTCAACTGCACTTCAATCCCCATGGTACCACGTCTACGCGTGGGTAGGCTGTCTCTCTCCCCTCTTTTAGGGAAAGAGAACATGTATGGTCCCTCTTCCTTTTCTTCTCCCCAGGTACCCTTTTTCTTTCCTTCCTCTCCTTTATCGAAAGCACTCCTCTGATCCCCAGCTCTTCTCTTTTCCCACCTTCTCCTCCAACATCTCTGTTACTAAAAAGCCTTCCGTCATTGGCTGCCCTATTCCTGCCTTTTTTCCCTCCTCACTTCTTGTGGCCTGACTTTCCTCTAAAGTCAGGTCTTGAATCACCGCGGGTATAGCTCTCAATGCTTTGTCAATTTCTTCTGCTCCAGACTATTGAGGGGACAGCTCGCTTTCAGGTTTAACCGTCTTAATCAGTCCCTCTTCACAATAGGCTTCTGCAGATGTTTATAAAGGCCTCTGCTGAAGATCTTAATAGCTGGTCAGGTTCATAATGAGGCCAGCAGTGCCTTAGTCATCCCCCAAGCTGTTTGTGGCACCTCAATTTTGTCAGGATTTAATTTCAGTTTGCTCAGCCTCATCCAGCCCATGAACTTATACAACGTTCAAGGGTCCTGATTACTTTCTTGGTATTAGGCAACAAGGAATGGTATTGATCTGGGCATCACCAGCATATTCCTGGTATGTCACTCCAGTGCTCTGCATGACCTCTTTCAGTGGCTTCATACAGATGTGAAATAATGTAGGGGGTTAAGGACTGGACTGCAATTTCCAGGACTCCAAAGTCTCAGAATTTTCCCATAATCCTGTAGGCAGAATTCTGGGCTTGGAAGAAGAGAAACCAAAAGGCAGAGTTCTGAGACAAGAAGAAGGGAAACCCAAAGAGTTGTCTTCCCACTGCCATCCTCTGCCCTACACCACGTTGCTCCTGCTGGAAAGAAGGGGACTAAGAATAGTGAAGTAAGAATCAGTCCACATGACCTGGAGCATTTAATCAGGCATTATTAGATATCAGGCTGTGGGGGAGCAGTACTCAGAAGATTTGTCCAGGGCAATTGAGAAGCTGCAGCTGAGAGAAGACATCAAAACTGGGGAGAAAAGAGGTAACCAGGAAGCAATCTCTAAAGAGAGGAATGGGTACAGTATAGAGGTAGAAGTAGCAGCTTGACCAGGCAATCATTGAAGGTTGAAAAGAAACTGTAGATGGTGCCAGAAAGCAACCATCAGATGACAGTCTTCTCCAAATTAGGCATCTTGACCTTTATACTCCAATGGCTTCTCATTGCAAAGCAAATGTTTTCAATATTCAAAATGAGGTGCAAATAAGAGAATGCTATGGGAACATTTACTTTTGCTTGCATTTGGATGACTTAAATCTCGAATGTTCTTTGCATCCTAAATGCAAAGGCATATGTTAATTTTGGCAAATTCTTGAAAATGTAGCCATATTTGTACTAGCCAGTTTTAATAAATAAAGTTATTTCTATCATGGAGAGGATTGTGCTGGACCTGCCTACTATATACTGTAGTTGTTTAAAATGAGGAACCTGTTTTAAAAGGTAGCCACCTAAATTAAGCAATGATATAAGTTAAAACACAAGGATTCAAATCTAAGCTTTTAAAGAGTTAAATATTCAAAGCCCTGGGCCTCAACAAACTCAACGCTCTGAATTCTTCGGTTTCAGATTCTTCTAGTTTTAAGACATCTCCAATTTTCTCTAACCCAAAATGGAAATTCCACCCATCCCTTGTAAGAGGGACCAAACTTAATTTTGTAGGAATATAAATGAAAGAGGGAGCTATCAGAGCCCAAGTCCACAAGCCAATTATATAACAGTTTGCTGGGCAAATGGGCTTCCAACCAAACTACCTATTCAATCCACAAACTATGGATGAACAATGCTATCAACTGTGACAGCACCAATCACTTGTTGGACATGATTTACTTATTTATTTTTTATTTCCGCTTGTATACTGACCCATAGTGCACACACTCTCTGGGAAGTTCAAAACACAATGATAAGGCAAAATTAAGGTAGAAGAGACCCGACCCTGACCCTCAAAGTAACTGGTGCCATCAAAGCTAGCTGGGCATCATCCCTAATAGATAGTTATCAAACAATTGTAGCAAGAAAACATGCAACAACCAGAACCCCAGATATGGAGTGTACACCCCTGCCATCTGCCCAGCAACTGTTTGTATTTAGGAAACACATCCAGTAAGGCAACATGCATGGAAGAGCCCAATTACTGTGCAGATATTACATTGCTGTTTTTTTCAGACCACACATACCTGTTTCTTAAGAGACTCCTTAAAGGCTGCAGTCCTCTTCACAGTTTCTTCAAGAGAAAAGTAAGCGAAGATTTCACCTAGACCTCAAATTTACTTCCAAGTAAACATGCAATATAACAGTTTGCTGGGCAAATGGGCTTCCAACCAAACTACCTATTCAATCCACAAACTATGGATGAACAATGCTATCAACTGTGACAGCGCCAATCACTTGTTGGACATGATTTACTTATTTATTTTTTATTTCCGCTTGTATACTGACCCATAGTGCACACACTCTCTGGGAAGTTCAAAACACAATGATAAGGCAAAATTAAGGTAGAAGAGACCCGACCCTGACCCTCAAAGTAACTGGTGCCATCAAAGCTAGCTGGGCATCATCCCTAATAGATGGTTATCAAACAATTGTAGCAAGAAAACATGCAACAACCAGAACCCCAGATATGGAGTGTACACCCCTGCCATCTGCCCAGCAACTGTTTGTATTTAGGAAACACATCCAGTAAGGCAACATGCATGGAAGAGCCCAATTACTGTGCAGATATTACATTGTTGTTTCAGACCACACATACCTGTTTCTTGAGAGACTCCTTAAAGGCTGCAGTCCTCTTCACAGTTTCTTCAAAAGAAAAGTAAGCGGAGATTTCACCTAGACCTCAAATTTACTTCCAAGTAAACATGCATCAAAGCAGACATGTTTTATAAAAACATTAATAATACCAACAACTGTGGGAACTCTTGTCATACAGCGGAACCAAATAAATCAAGGGTTTGCATATACAAGAGAAAGCTCCATGTTTCATCTGAAAAACAGGGCACACCTGCAATAATTAGTCCAAAAATAGCTTTCTGAAGCAAAACTGAATTTCCTTCAAGTTAGCATCCCCTGATGTCCTTTAACGAGGTCTTCTTTCTAACATCAGGTGTTCCAACCAGAACCCTGTTTCAGCCATGACTTGAACTATGGCCTTAAGCTTTGCAGAATTAGGGCCTCAGCTGTTCCTATTTCTTCCCACCACCTCCCTCAAGGAGACAGGAAGTGGCTGTTTATTATAGAATAAATCTCTGGCAAACAGCTGGCAGCAGCTTTAATGAAGCAACTGATAATAAAATGAAAGTCGGTCATATTCTGTGTTTTCCAGGAAGATTATAAATGATATTTTCCAAGGCTGCCTGATTATCTGTTTCAGCTTCAACTGATTGAAAATAGTAACAGAAATAGCAGCATGTATAACTGCATAAACAAATCTTCTTCCAGGTTCTCTTTTCCATCAGTAATCTTGCATTGCCTCCAATATAAGAGAGAAGCTTTAATTTAATTGACCCACAAGAGGATTAA